CCCCCGACTGCTCAGGCTGACTCCTGTTTCCTCTCTGCCCCGGTCTCGCAGGGCGGCACGATCATCGGCAGCGCCCGCTGCAAGGCTTTCACCACGCGCGAGGGCCGCCTCCGGGCCGCCTGCAACCTCGTGCAGCACGGCATCACCAACCTGTGCGTCATCGGGGGAGACGGCAGCCTGACGGGAGCCAACATCTTCCGGACGGAGTGGGGTGGGCTGCTGGAAGAGCTGGTTAAAGACGGTGCGTGCAGCGTGGGGCCGGGAACCGGGCTGATACCCTCCGGGTACAGCCCCGCAGCCAAGCGTTTTGGCTAGGAAGTCAACGGGCTACCTGTGTACTCGAGGGTGCAAAGCCGAGAGGGAGCGTTTGAGGACCTGCATAGCACAAGGCAGGGTCCCCCCTTAACTGAGACCGAGCGTTGCTTTGGCTGGAGTTTTTTACCTCCAAGGATAACTTGTCGGGGTCAGGAAACGCCAAGAAATGGCAAATTCCCACTTCCCTTGGGAGTTTCTTTCAGTGGTCATCCCTCCCCGTTAAATTAAAATGGATTCCTTTTATTTTCAGCCTGGCTCCAGTTTCCAGCTGCTGGCTGCCGTTCTGCCTTTTTGGTGTGCTGCTTCAAATCCTGAAATCCCATATGCTTAGGTGATCTTTTAGTCTGAGGTGTCTGAGTTGCTAAACTCTCCCTCGCATCTAATAAAAGGGACTGGGAGCCAGGAAGCGCAGCTGCGTGCTTGATCCAAAGGGGAAGTTGTTTCCAGGGCTTGACTGCGCAGTTGGCTTGTTGACATCTTCAGAGGGTTCAATTTCACTAAGGAAATTGGAGAGCAATTGAAAATGGTTCAACAGTGGTCAGAAAATCAAGTGGAAAGTTGGGCCTTGGTAGGCAAGGAATAGAAAGCATAGCCAAAAATACCCGTCCTGTGGTCTGTAAATCCAGAGAGGATCCAGCACCCTCTGGTGCTGTGCACAGTCCTGGCTGCGAGGGCAGAGCCGGGGCCGCACTGGGATGGAGCTGCAAAGGCAGACAGAGATCTGGAACGGCTTGAGGAAGGCGGGGAGACCGGGGCGTGGAGGTCTGTGAAATCGGGGAGGTTGTGGCAATGAACAGGGAGCGAAGATCTGCGAACCACGGGGCGTTTAGCACAGTCAGCGGGCAGTGAGTTTGAAGCGCGCAAAGGAAGGGCTGGATGTGGTGTCAGGGTGGCTGCACGTGTGTTGAAAGGGAGGAAGGGTGGGCTTGGTTTTAGAGATCCTTTGGTGGCCAGTCCGTGCCACCGCCCTGCTACAGCCTCCAGGCCAGGGAGGGAGACAGACCTGCTGTGCTGGCTCGCGTGCCGTCGTTGCTTGTCCCATCCTAGCTCTGTCATTCGAGCGAGAGGCGCCCAGTTTTTCCTAGCCCGAGCACCGCCTTGCTCTGCCGGGGACAGAGCTCGGCACAGCTGCAGACTTTCCCCTCCTAGAAAGCACCCGCCATGTCGCCCCCAGGGCAGATCAGCGAGGACGTGGCGAAGGAGTACTGCCACCTGAACATCGTCGGCCTGGTGGGCTCCATCGACAACGACTTCTGCGGCACTGACATGACCATCGGCACCGACTCGGCGCTGCACCGCATCATGGAGGTGATCGACGCGATCACCACCACGGCCCAGAGGTGAGCGAGCCCTCGCTGCCGGCCAGGCGTGCTCTGTCCGTGGGAGCTCGTGCAGAGAGCGCTGATGCCCTTTCTCTCCCTTTGGTCTTTTTGCAGCCATCAGAGGACGTTTGTGCTGGAGGTGATGGGCAGGCACTGCGGGTAAGAGCCCCAGGAGATGGGAAAAATCTTCGGCAAGCGCTGGGTGGGCTGGGGCTGAGGGAGGGAAGGGCAGCCCAGTGCGTGCAGGGCGGTGGTGTGGGGGAAGCCCGCAGCCACATTAAGTGGCCGGGAGGCTCCCCAGGGCCTCTGCTCTGCTGCGCAGTCCCGTGTCATGTCCTGGGCCAGGCACGGCGCTGAGCATTGCCGGTGTTACCCTCCCCACTAGGGTGCCCAGCAGTGACCTGGTGGCAGCCGGCGCGATGCTAATGCCGCCTGCCCTTCCAGGTACCTGGCCCTGGTGTCTGGCCTGGCCTCGGGGGCCGACTGGCTCTTCATCCCCGAATCGCCCCCAGAGGACGGCTGGGAGGACCTCATGTGCGAGAGACTTGGGGAGGTGAGATGGGGGCTCCTTTTCCTGCCGAGAGGGTCATTTGTACGCTCCAGGTTTTCAGTGCCTCCTTTTGCTCCTGAACCAGAGAGTTCCCACTAGATCCAGGCTGGAATAAATGAGCGTTTTGCACCAAGTCCTGGCTGCTGCAGGGCTGGGTCCCCAGGGAGTCTACGGGCCCCCCTCTCTGATAAAGCCAGCGCACAGCAGACCAGCGCTTGTCCACTGCGAAGTTTCGGGAGCTCGTGCTATTGTCTCCGTGAAACGGAGCACTCAACCGAACGCAAATTTGTGCTAGTGGGCAGCCTGGAAATGTCTGGCGTTGGAGTCCGGTTTCACAAAGGCTGAGCTGCCCCCGCTAACCAGAGCTCGCCCGGAGGCAGAGGCCAGCGTCCCGGTGCTCGACTGGCGCCTGCCATGCGCTGCCCGGGGCCGGAGGCCTTCCTGCAC